GGGGGGGGGGGGACAGGACGACACGACACCATGACAGCATACCACCACCACTTAAAAATAACAACTTCACTAAGATTTGGGACAAAATATTGCCTCTCCAAGGCTTTGTATGAATTTCATCGTATCTCATCAGTTAAAATAAAAATTCTACACAGTGCATCTCAAACAGAAATGTGCATACCAATCCCCTGGGATTTTGCAGATCTGACTGTGGTTTAGAGTGAAGCCTGAAATTCTCTATTACTAACAAGCACCCAGGAAATGCTGACGTTACTGGTGCTCAAACCACACTTTGAACTGTAAGGTTCTGGAGTGTGGGCTGGTAAACTTTTTCTGTAAAGAGCCAGATATCAACTATTTTTTACTTTGAGAATTATAAGGTCCTGGTTGCATCTACTCAATTCTGTGGCTGCTTTCTATGTGGCTACCATGTAAAAGCAAACACAGACAATACATAAAAAATGGGCAAAGCTAGACTTGGTGTGTGGCCACATTTTGCTCACTCTGTCCTAGAACACCTTTATCGGCCTACAGAGACTTCCATTCTGATTAACAGAATATTCCTGTGAGAATTTGTCACACAACTGAAAAAAAAGGTTTAAAAAAAGTGACAAGTTCATATTGGAGTAATGGAAATGTTCTAAAACTTGATTAAAGTTGCACAACTTGGTACATTTACTAAAAAATCATTAAATTGTATGCTTAAAACAGTTATTATAAATTATATCTCAATAAATTTATTTAAAAATGTAAACAAATTTTAGTTTAAAAGTTTAAACTTCAGTGCAGCATTTCTAAACCAAAGACAGGAAGGCAGGAACCATAAGCTGTAGTAATAAAGAGAAAGGTGTACTTGAGAAACATCTACGAGAAACCAACCATAAGATTTGATTACTGGATTGTGCAACAAAAAAGGAAAAAAAAGCAGCAAGGCAGAAGCTTGAACTACTGAAGCCATATCAAAACAAATAGTTTACAGAGGTGGCATGGACAGCGTATGTTGAATTCCATTTTGGACATACAAAATTTGAGCATCCAGATGGTGCCATACTACAAAGCACTGAAAATGCAGGTATAATGCTCAGTAACTGTAAAGTAGATGGCTAGAAATGAGTTCTGAAAGTCATCAATATAAGGTGGTGGTGGCTGAAACCACTTTAAGGGGGTGAGAGACTGTACTAGAGACCAAGCAGCAGCAGCTTGGCACGGAAAACTAAGAGGGTGCAAAAGAAGCCAACATGAAGGGACTCAAGAAAGGGGTAAGCAGCAAATGTTAAAAGGAGATCAAACAGAATAATAATGGGAAAGAGGCCCGGAACTTGGCAATTAGGTCACTGGTGACTTAGCAAGAACATTTTTACCGGATTCAGGGGACCAAACAATTTAGAGAACAAATGTGAAATGAGCAGAAGAGAAAAACTGTACAGTTCACTGTTTCAAGAAGCATGCTGGGAAAGAAAATGTAGAAAAAATGGGTGAATAATATATTTAGAAGAAGAGAGTAGAAAATTTGACACAGTTCATACTTCACAGCCTTCACTTTCTGACAAGGAAGACAATGCTGTTGCTAAGATGAAAGAGGACTGATTTTGGCACTTGAAAGTGGTAAATGTTTGAAATGCTAGTTGTGAGAACTGGAAAGTATATGGAAGTAAAGGTAAACTCATTTATCTTATAGTTAGTTAGCATATCATAAGATGTATACTGCTTAGTAACTGCTACCTGATTATGCTAGAATATTTTGGCTACTACAGACTATCTCCAGGAGAATCAAGACACTGGCAGTACTGCAGAAATTACTTCAGCACCTGGGGGACAGGCATGTAAGAGAAACTTTTCACTATATACCTTGCACCTTTTAAATTCTAGTCCACTTGAATGTATTATCTATTTTATTTAAATGTTTTTATTGATTCTTAGAGAGGGAAACATCAATTGGCTGCCTCTTGCATGCCCCCTACTGGGGATCAAGCCCACAACCCGGGCATGGGCTCTGACTGGGAATCAAACAGATGATCTCTTGGTGCATGGGACAGATGATCAATCTACTGACCCACACTGGCCAGGATGTTATCTATTTTAAATAACACTAATATTTTATGTTAGTGTTACTACTATAGTGCTTGTTTTAATAAAAATCAAAACAAAAATTGCTATCAGTTAAGGAAAATACTTTCAAAGAATGATGACAAGCTATATTACAACCATCGCTTTAGAGACTAAAGCATAATCAAGGGGGTAGAAAAGCCCAAGGTGATTTTAAAAAAGTTTGCACTGAAAAATTTTAAACCAGTAACTTGCATCTAAACCAGCTATTTGTAGCTCAGATTTTAGGACACTCTCCTTTCTGTCCCTTGACTCCAGACACAGGCCCAATGGCAAAGGATCCTTCCATATCCCCCAATTCCTTGATGCCTAAGGCAGCTGTGTATAAGCTGATAATACAAATCTTGGGGTACAACAAAAACAGGAGAAATTCCAGGGCCCTCAGTTCTAGAGGTAACTTTTCTACCAACTCTTGCCCATTTGTTAGACTACAGAGTTCCACATAAGCCTACTACTACTGGTACCTACTAGCTAGTCTAAAGGAAGTAAACACTTTCCGTACCTTCCGGCTTCACTTTGCCCTAACCATTTCCTGATTTGAGAAAAACTACATAGAAAAGGGTACTAATACTTCTGAACTAACTGGCCAGGGTGAAGAGTGAACAATCTGAGTTATTCTTTCACCTCTAACAGTTCTCAAGGTAAGGGAGATGATCAAGGCATAGAAAAGTTCTGGCTAAACTGTAACTATAACAAAGAACCAACAGTTTCCTTTTCTACTCTTTTCCTCCACAATAAATACATTCCACTGCTAGAGATTTGAATTCCAGAAAAGTGATTTTAATATAATCTATCACTAAATTTCTGTGCATGCCCAAATTTCAGAGCCCTAAATACCATCTCTAATCCCCTTTTGCTGGATGGATTCCCTTACAGTGTTGGCTCCAAGTTATTTTACCACAAACAGCACTTTTTGAGTAGTGAGGTTTTTGTTACCATCACCGACGGAGGAATGCATTGATCTAGTTAAAGTAGTACATCGAATGAACTGGGTTGAAGATGCAGAGCCCTAATATAAACCCTAAAAGTATAGGTATACATACATGTGAAAAGCTTAACACATAGTAATCAGTAAAGGTTTCTTAAAGGAGGGGGAATTAGAAAAGCACTAAAACTAGTAGGGATATTCAAGTGAAACAGTATGTGCAAATGCATAAAATGGTCATTTAATCATCAACAAAAGAATAAGCAGATTAGCTTAGTTGGAAAGGATACACTATAAAAATGAGGATGGAAAAGAGGAGCAGTATCTACATACAAGGCTAATTATTTTGACGATGACATAACAGAAAAATAGAAACTTGGTTTAATCTTGGGGGGGAAAAATTCAAATCTAGAATCACAAGTTTCTAGGTTCAAAAGTAGCATAATGAAAAGAGAAAAACAAAAAATATCTGTGTGGCACAGATACAGTAGTCCGAGAGAGGAAATGAAATCAGCCAGAAGCATGCTGCAATCATCCTTATTCTAGCCCAATATTCTTACTGTCATACTATAATCCTACAATTACAGTGTCAGAGCTGGATGGCCTCTGAGAGATCTTCTCCAAGTCCTTCACTCGTACAGAACACCCTGTACATACTGTCTACTGCATGCTCCTCACCCCTTGGACACCGCTCCAAGAGCATGAACTCCATGACAGCAGAGAAAATACCTGGTCTGCTCACCCCAGCATCCAAAACAGTGTCCAACACATAGCAGGGCACATAAATATTTGCTTACTGAAGGAAAAAAAAAGAAAGCAGGAGCTGAGAGCCAGAGAGACAAGTTACCCAAAGTGAGAAAGCTAAGTAGTATGTATGCCAAATCTATCAACAAATGGTCCCGTGTTATTCCCACTATACTGTTAGCCTCATAGAGTCACGTCCATATGCTCGCCCTCCCTTCCAGAAAATACTAATGATCTGGTCCCTATTCTCCCAACTTCAGTCCACACCAATCACAGTAACAAGCCTCTAAAATCAAGAATTTTAAAACCAAATTATTTATACAAGAACAAATTCTAGATATATCACATCTACACATTAAATCATACATCGCACTAACCAAGTCTGTGGGTTCATCCTCTTCAACCTCTGCTTCATCATCTTCATCTTCAATTACTGAATCTTCCACTGCTTCTTCATCTTCTGTAAGATCTTGAGCTGCTGCTACTGAGCCTAACAATAAAATATAAAACAAGCAGTTAACTACGCTGGAACACTAATGTTTTTTCATCTCCAGAATAGTGAACAACTCTGGGTGTTGTGTCTCAGTGGTTAGAGCTTTGGTCCTCTTACCAAAGGGTCTTGGGTTCGATTCCTGGTCAAGGGAATGCACCTAGGTTGCAGGTTCAATCAACGGCCCTGGATGGAGAGCCTGCGGGAGGCAACTAACTGATGGGTCTCTCTCACATCGATGTTTCTCTCACTCTCACCTACCTCCCTTCCACTCTTTCTAAAAGTCAATAGAAAAAATATCCTTGGCTAAAGATTAGCAACAACAACAAAAAAGAATAGTGAACAAAAATTTCCCCTCGGAGCAATTCAATCACACAGCGTACAAGAATGATGTCAAATTACAATGATATAAGAATATTCATATGACTTTATCTTAGAGCATTAACATCTGCATGTTAATTTTAATGGGAAATGCTGTTCAATTTTAAAAAGCACCTAACTAGAAAAAATGAACTCCTGAAATTAAAGATGCCTTGAAGTTCAAATAAAGAACTTCAAGCAATCTTGTTAAGCAAATGAAGGAAAATAAGTGTTTCCAAAGAAATTCCAAAATTTAATCTGTCATTAACCCTACAAAATAAAACAAAAAAAATACTCATGTCTAAAGGAAAACAGCAATCTCAATATCTAGGCAAGAAACATTATTATTAGAGTTGACTACAGCTCAAAGGCTTAGAACTTGATAGCATGTAATTCCAAGGAACAAATATCTGCATGGCATCCATGTAAAAACTAGCTGGCATAAAACACATTGTTTAGTAAAAACCCTATGCTGTTAACTTCAGGGTTGATAGCAGAGAAATCATGCATTTATTTTTGCATATGGCTTCAAACGTGTTCTAAGATACTTTTTTATTTCCCCTACACTTAATATGAAAATAAAAGTTAAGCATAACTGTAATATAGCCAAGAAATTATAAATCATAGTTTTATATGCAAACGTATTCCAAATAAGTCACATTAAAACTATTTCAGGCAAGACTCAAAAGAAATTTCAAAGTTCTAGCAACTCTTCCAACATTTCTCAGAAAGAATGATGATGTGGCAACTCAGAAGAGGGAAAAAAATGTGGGAAAGGAAGCATGTGCATATCCTGCAATACCCAAGAGAAATAGTGTACATTAAGGACCACATATTTTAAGTCTTTTCAGTTCTACTTCTTCCTGAACAAGTCATTTTAAAAACCAGTAAGAAAAAGACAGGGAGGGAGGGAGGGAAGGAAGGAGAAAATAAAAAACTAGTAAAAAAAAACATCTAGGTCTGACGTAATTTAAAAGTTGTACTTAAATTTAAGCACTGAGACATAACAGCTTTTCACCCTATGTTTCAGTGGATATTAAACTATTTCAAGAGGAAACATCTTTTGAAAGAAAGACTGTTTCTCACAAAAAATGTTTAAAGATACCCAGTTCAGTTTAGATACTGATGTTTCTTTCTTTTTGTTTTTTTAAAAGTTTAAAACCTGAAAAATATAGTCTAAATTCTATACAAATAGAATTGACAATATTTGTTTAAAAAAAACAGCAAGCAATTGGTAAAGGAAAAGAATCCCTCAACCTGCAAATGAATTCATTAACAGTTTCGGCTAATTTTCACACTTGGGTTTCTCTAACCACTAAATAGAAGCCAGTCAGTTCACTTTTCTTTGCAAAACAACTTGTGGATACCTGTCACTATCATTCATTTTGCCACACAGCTTGCTTCAACTTATTGAATCAAAGGAATTCTAGCGATCATTGAGTCAGACTACACTTTACAGATTAGAAAAATCCAAGTTCATGAAAGAACCGGGGCAAGAAGCCAAGTCTTCCACGTTTTTAATGTTCTGCTATCTAAGTTATTTTCACACCAGGTTAACCGCAGGAAGGAATAAACAAAACTAAATAAAAGGGTAAAACTCGAATTAGACTGTATTTTTTCAGGGCATATTTCCAAGGATCAAAAAATGGTTACGGAAAAAAAGGGCATAAGTGATGCACATCCCACAGAGATTCTTCGGTCCGCCCGGGAGCACAGGGATGGGCGATGGGGGCTGAGAATGGGGAGCTTTTCTGAAATCAAGACTCGTGGCAACACACAGGGACCAGGGGCTGACAAACGGGAAGATGATGAGAAAAACAAAAAGTGCTCTAAGAGTTTAGGTGTTTAGAAAACAAAGGTTTCAGCAAATGAATGAATGAAGGCGGACTCCTAGCGTGGAAACGAAAGACACGTCAGCCCAGAGCCGCGGGATGGGGGTGGAGCGGGCTGAAGGCGGCGGGGAGAAATCGGGCTGCGGCGCGCTCGGGGTTCAGCCGTGCCCGCTGCCCCCTCTCCTCCCTCCTGCAGCCGGGACCCGCCGGCTCC